TTAAATCATTGACAAATTAACCTTTAATATTAAAATTTGTTTCTAACTAAATAAGTAGTCTCTTATTTAAGGGGGGAAAAAAGAAAAACGAAAAAAAAGAGAGGCTCTTATTAACGAGAGAGGGTCAGAGGGGTATCAGCTACCAGGGCGGCCGGACATAGTTTATGATCCGTATCTTGCCACGAGCTCTTTTTCTTTATGGGCTGAGACAACCTTCTTGTGGTCCAAAGAGGACCACCTCGTCAAGTTGGGCCAAGCCCAAACAAAATAAATTTAGATCTGACATCTACTACCGAATCGATAGTAAACAACCTCTCGCCCGACCATAATGCAGAAAGAATAATGCTCCAGGGACCAACAGGTCCTAAGCCTACAGGGGCCGAACGAATGTGACATCTCCACGTCATTTAGTTTACAATTTTTTTTTTTTTAAATTACAATGTTAGGATAGCATTTATTTAAGAAAAATCGAGTTTGAAACTTGACTTGATGACCGGGTACGTTTTACATGTTTTTCACTTTGATTACATGTTTCCCACTTTTGAAGAAACATGATCATCACTGTAATTTCATAGAGGAATGTAGTTTACAATTTATGTTATGATTTAAATTTATGATAATAATGTAAGGGTAATTTTTTTTTATTTTTTATATATTTTTAAATAAATAAATATATTTAATATTATATATTTTAAATAAAAAAATAATTATCTAAATGCTTCATAAATTTATATAAAAAACAAAATAAAAAAACTATCTCTAAAATTTGTGTACATTACCAACAAGTTTATATCGTGTTTTATCGAATGACTAGTGTTCTTATCTCAGAAAAGGGGGCATTGATAGAAAGGATGGAGCAAAAAGGTGGCTTTGATGTTCGGGCTTTAATGAAAAGAAATCGGTAAATCGCAGTTTTAAAAAATATCAAAGCAACCAAAGATGAAGAAGGTTGTGTAGATACAGGAGACCAAATTGGGATGAAAAGAGATCGAAGGAAGCGGGTTGATGGCAAAATGGTGTTATTTAATTAAAAGAGTTTTACATAACTTTTTTACAAAAAGATTATCTATAGTTAAATCAATAAAAAGAAAATTTGTATATTAATCATGATTTATAAAAATAATTAAAGTTTTAATATTAAATTATGTTTTTTATTTAATTAAAACTCAAATTAAAATTTAAAAAAATTATATTATTAAATATTAATATATTAGAATATATAATGAGTTTTTGAATTCAAATATCAACACTTAATAGGATAAGATTTTAGTTTACAAATATAAATTGTGACTCTAATTATTTTTAGGAGTATAAGCACTAATTTTAATTTCCTATTTTAATTTAAATAATAACTTCATTTCTAAATCATTAAATTTAAAATTTAAAATTTTTAAACCCTATCATTAAATATTAGATCCAAAAATCTAAAATTTACACCATAAACCCTAAATTTTAAACTTAATAAAAATAAACTCTTAAATTTTAATATTAAATCCTAAACCCTAACTCTAAATTCTTAAATACTAAACCTAAAAATTAAGTATTTTATAGGACCTAAAGTTGAAAATCAAAAATTAGTAAAGCTAAAATTTAGAAGTGAAAAGCCTATAGGGACTCCAATTCGACCTGGCGACCTGTCGGTCACCATAGCATTACTCATAAGTCATACCCTCTTTATTATTATTGACACGGTCAGTAGGTCTCTCCTTCAGTCGTCCCCTCCGCGCCAAAGGCCGTCGGAAATTACCGAGCGCAGTCATCGACATCATCCGCCAGCGATGGCGAGCCCTGCGACGCTTCCGATCTCAAGCCAACAAACCACGGCAGGCGGTGGGGCACAGTCTCAGCCCCCAATCGCCACGCCGGCATTTCGTGCCTTCATCTCACGCCTCTCATCCTCGATCCGCCACGGATTTTCCCAGCGGCGCCCCTGGTCTGAGCTAATTGACCGCACGTCAATGTCCCGACCAGACTCCCTTTCCGATGCCTACTCTCGGATCCGCAAGAATCTCTCTTATTTCAAAGTTAACTATGTAACCCTACTGGCAGTTGTGCTTGCTTTCTCTCTTCTATCTCACCCTCTTTCTTTACTTGTGCTCTTGGGTCTCCTCGCCGCTTGGGTCTTCCTATACCTATTTCGACCGTCCGATCAACCTGTGGTGTTATTCGCCCGTACATTCTCAGATCGAGAGACCCTAGGGGCGTTGGTGGTCTTGACTGCGTTCGTGGTGTTCCTGACCAGTGTTGGATCGCTTATAATCTCTGCTTTGATGGTAGGTGTTGCGATCGTTTGCCTACACGGTGCCTTTAGGATTCCGGAGGATCTGTTCTTGGACGATCAGGAGCCCCCAACTGCCGGATTCCTGTCCTTCCTCGGTGGTGCCGCCTCCTCTGCTGCCGCTGTCGCCGCCCCTGCAGTGGCCTCCCGTGTCTGAGCAACGGGTACTTGAACCTGCTCGTGTATACACATTTTTTCTTTATACGCTTTTCGTATTCATCCTGATAGTCAAAAGGATTTTCTATCTTGGTGGTAGATCAAAACTCAAAAGATTCATTCCTAGGTTTCGTTTTGCTTGTATTTAGATTAGTAGTTGGTCTGCATTTAGAGGATTAGATCTTATTTTCTTGGGTCTGTAATATTTGTTACTTCAATTTTGATTCTGATGGGGTTCGGATTTCTTGTGTTAACTTCGCATTTGCTTTTAATCTACATTGTCTTTTGCTTGTTATAAGCCTATTCGTTTATCTTCACTGTTTGTTTGATGTTAAGTTTTTCTGCTATGCTTTGTACTTTGAGACTTGAGTGAGTAATAATTCATGCTCAGATTTTGTGAATCAGGGTGTATATGAGGTAATTATGTAATGTTATCACCATTTGGATATAATAAAGACATGCTTTGGTATCAGTTTTTTAGTGTATAAGGTGATCAAACTAATTATGGGCTTTTAAGGGAAGCCTTCTGTGACTTCGTTAGAATAAGTGAAGGCATGTTATGAGCTAGATAGACTGTATCTGTGTTTTATTTGTAATAGTGCTGATAAGATATTAAGGAGACAACATGTTGGATCTAGTTTTACCATAATGCTAGTTATCCTCCCACTTTATCAGTTAATATCAAACTAGGAATCTTATAAGCCTGAATGATTTTGTTTGGCTGTAGATGCCATGTGCATCACAGCTTCATCAGTTTATTTTGAGGAGGTATATCTGCACATCCATCCCATGTCTTAGGACGAATCTTGCATGGCGATGTTATCGTTTATGTTTTCAGTTTGATGGCATTGGTTCTTTCAAGTTTCAACTTTTAAATCTACATGATTTTGTTTCCTGTTGTACCCTTCTGCAGATTTATTCCTCTTGAGATGTTCTGCCTATACATATGCCTTGGTAGAAGGCCTCTGCTATGATACTAATGTTGGATTTGTTAGCAGATGTGGCCAATTTTATCCTTGTTGAGTTGCTTGACCTTACTTGCTTTATCTGGTTTTAGTGTTGCTTAATGTAGCAATTTGGAGATTGCTTTTGCATAGCTCCTGAAAGTCAATTTGTATCATTAGTTGTCAAAGTGCTATTTACCAAGTAGGGCAAGGTCCTGTCTGGATGGTATGGATTGGCTGGCTAGATGAGCTAGATATGATTGTGTCCAAGTACGCCATAAATCATTTTCAATTTGTCTGCCTAATGTTTACTATTATAAGTGGATCCCAAAATGAAGTATACTGCTTATGTCAAGTGCCCTGCCAAGTGTCAACCTATTGCTCTTACAATTTCTTCTTTTTGGCTGAATTATTCTTTCTGCAATTTTGTTGTGAAGATCTTGCCTGAGCCTCTGGCAGATGGGTTGGGACTAGTGTATGATAAAGCAGAAGGAAAGATATATTAAAGTGGAAGGCAATGCTTTGCTAATCAATAGACTTTCATTTCTTTAACATTTCAGATTAGACAGTGCATTGAAAGAACCTGTCTTGACTTCTCTGCTTTCCATACAAGTTGGTATGGAATCGATTTCATTGGAAGTATATATACTTTATTATGGAAGACTGCTCTGAGTGGGTATGTTTTTTTGTATTAACTTCTTGTTGCCCCTAGATAATCATGTTTAGTATAATGCAAATGAATCAGATTCTTCATGACACAAGTTGCTGTTATTGAAACTTGTGACCCCTTTGGATCCTTTAACTTTCAAGTGCTAATCTTCAATATTGAACTCGAGTTTTATGGATCTCAGCAAAATACTTGGTTTTCCCTATTCACCGTTGTTCTTCTGGTGTTTTCTTGTTGTACGTTAGTGCTATCTCATATACTTCAGAAGATTGAAAAAAATACTACTTATATTTCAAGGTTCTATTACTTTGGGAGAGTTGCTGAGAGAGGTTGTGAAGTTAAGAGCAGGCATTTTTTCGTAAACGCTAATTACTAAAACAGAGATGTGATGGTATTATTCTATGTCAACATCCCTGGGACCAGACAAAGCTCCTGTTCCTGTGTCCCACACCCTGATGATGCCGATGCTGACAGCCCTTCGCAGTTCTCAGGATGGTTCCGAGATGTCTAAACCTTGCCAAACTTAGCCTGGCCATTAATTGCCAAACTATGACATCTGGTACCGTACTGGCTCCCGACGCCCACATCTCAAGCCAGTGGAAAGTAATCGAGGTATTGTGTGTTTCTTTACCGTGTCTGCTACGTATTCACTCTTTTATATATATATATATATACATTTACTTATTTAGTTAAGAATTTTTTATTTTGTAAAATGAAACAATTAAGATTACAAAGTAGTTTTTTATTTAATCATTTTTCTCATATTTATACAAAATATTGTAAAAAAAAAAACATTGAAATTGAATCATTAATGCAAATCAATGGGTTGACAAAGACATTTCAATCTTTTCTTCTTTAATGGGAAAAGTCAACTAAATAAAACTTTCTAAAGAACTTTTCTAAAGAAAAAGAGGTGGAGATAGAGGAACTCTAACCATATGAGTTAAAATATATGTATATATATATATTTATCAATAAATTAACTAATTATCCGACAAAACTTACTAATGCCATCTCAATCTTAACCTCTTGTTAGAAACTAAAAAAACCCTGTTTTTCTAGGACCCCACAAATCTAATGATCCCCACCCAGGGTAATCTGGTCATTCTCTCTTGAAAAAGATAGCCGTTATAGCAGAGCGGGTTGGGTAATAAAAGAACACTAACCTCAGTCCATGAACCCGTTCAAATATATTAGTACATGCATTGAGAAGAGGAAAAATAATGGGGGAAGCAAAACTAGCCGTTAGGCCAAGAACCTCCGCTCCGCTCCACACCACACCACACCTCCTGACAATCTGTCTTCCTACTTTCTCTTGCAATACAAAAAAAAAAAAAGATTCCTCTCTTTCTTTCTCTCTCTTAGATCTTCACGTGCTCTTCCAGAGTTAAAAACTTAAAACTCTCCCCCTCTTGCTCTCAGTACGAGAGACCCTCTCAACTACCATCTTCTTCCCCTGTTTCATTCCTCCATGGTAGCAGAAAACACACCTAAACTTCAAAGAAAGAAAAAACATAGGAGAACATAGATAAACAGCCTCTTCTCCTTCTTCTTGATTGATTTTGTTTTCTACTTTTCTTTTCAGTGGAAATGGGGATCCAGAATTGGGTTCTCAACAGTTTTTTCACACACCCATTTGAGAATAAAAAGGAGAAGTGCAAGGAGACTTGCCTATTCCCCCACATTGTTCTGTTTCTTTACCTCCTTGTTTGTTTTGTTCAAGTTCAACCGGTTTCAAGCCAGGGCTGGGATGGTGTGATTGTCACTGCAGCAGATTTTCAAGCTCTCCAAGCATTCAAGCAGGAGCTGATAGACCCAAAAGGGTTTTTGAAGAGCTGGAACGATAGTGGCTATGGAGCTTGTTCCGGCGGTTGGGTTGGCATCAAGTGTGCTCAAGGTCAGGTGATTGTTATCCAGCTTCCATGGAAAAGTTTGGGAGGGAGAATCACTGAGAAAATTGGCCAACTCCAAGCTCTCCGGAAGCTCAGTCTCCATGACAACCAACTCGGCGGCTCCATCCCTCAAGCATTGGGGTTTCTCCCGAACCTCAGAGGCGTTCAGCTCTTCAACAACCAGATTACGGGTTCGATTCCTCCTTCATTGGGTTCCTGCCCTCTGCTTCAGACTCTTGACCTTAGCAATAATTCACTCACCGGAAATATCCCGGAAAGTCTTGCAAACTCAACCAAGCTTTTGAGGCTCAATTTTAGCTATAATTCCCTTTCCGGATCCATCCCGGTTAGTCTCACTCGCTCGCTTTCTCTTACTTTTCTTGCTCTTCAATACAACAACATCTCTGGTTCCATCCCAGATTCTTGGGGTCCAACTCAAAAAATTAGTTTTTCTCAACTTCAGATTTTAACCCTTGATCATAACTTCCTCTCTGGAAAAATCCCTGCTTCATTGGGTCGATTAAGTGAGCTTCAAGAGATTTCTTTTAGTCATAACCAGATTACAGGAACCATACCAGAGGATTTGGGGAAGCTTTCTAGGCTTAGAACCCTAGATCTTTCTAATAATGCCATTAATGGAAGCCTGCCGGTTAGTCTCTCCAATCTTTCTTCTCTTGTTGCGTTGAACCTGGAAAACAATAATCTTGATGACACAATTCCAGAATCAATTGAAAGGTTGCAGAACCTCTCTGTTCTCAGTTTGAGAGGAAACCAATTCAGTGGTCCGATTCCGGCAACGTTAGGAAACATTTCAACACTTATCCGACTCGATTTGTCACGGAATAAGCTCAGTGGACAAATCCCGTCTTCTCTTGGTGATCTTAAAAGTCTTGTTTTCTTAAATGTTTCTTATAATAACCTCTCTGGCCCTGTTCCAACTCTGCTTTCCCGGAAGTTCAATGAAAGCTCTTTTATTGGGAATGTTCAGTTGTGTGGGTTTAGGGGTTCAGCTCCATGTCCTTCTGAAGCACCTTCTCAGATTGTCCCAGGTCAACTACCGAAAGAACTAACACATAAACGTCAGAGATTGAGTACAAAGGACATAATCCTGATTGCAGCTGGAGCTCTGCTCTTAGTTCTGCTTATACTTTGTTGCATTTTGCTCTGTTGCTTGATTAAGAGAAGGACTGCATCAAAAGCAAAGAATGGTGAATCAGCGGCGAGGGCTGCCGCAGCAAGGGCAGAGAAGGGAGATCCGGCAGCTGGCGGTGATGTGGAATCAGGAGAGGGTGGAGGGAAATTGGCTCATTTTGATGGTCCAATGACTTTTACTGCTGATGATCTTTTGTGTGCAACAGCTGAGATTATGGGCAAAAGTACTTATGGGACTGTGTATAAGGCTACATTGGAGGATGGAAGTCACGTAGCTGTGAAGAGATTGAGAGAAAAAATCACCAAAAACCAGAGAGAATTTGAGCATGAGGTCAATGCTCTAGGCAAAATCCGACACCCAAATCTTCTTGCTTTAAGGGCATATTACTTGGGACCTAAAGGGGAGAAGCTTCTTGTCTTTGATTACATGCCAAGAGGGAGTCTTGCAACATTTCTCCATGGTAAGTGAAATTTTTCTTAAATTCTTGGTATTGTCAGAGAATGTGATGGTAGCTAATGCCATATTCTATCTTGCTACAGCTCGGGGACCTGAGACTTCTATTGATTGGCCAACAAGGATGAAGATAGCAAAGGGCGTGACACGAGGCCTACTGCACCTTCACACAAATGAGAACATTGTCCATGGGAATCTAACATCGAGCAACATATTGCTTGATGAGAATACAAATGCCAAAATAGCTGATTTTGGCTTGTCTAGGCTAATGACAACTGCTGCCAATGCAAATGTGATTGCAACCGCGGGAGCATTAGGTTATAGAGCACCAGAGCTTTTGAAACTAAAGAAAGCTAACACAAAAACAGATGTCTATAGCCTCGGAGTTGTCATATTGGAACTCCTAACGGGGAAGTCTCCAGGAGAGGCAGCGAATGGAGTCGATTTGCCTCAGTGGGTTGCCTCCATAGTGAAAGAGGAATGGACAAATGAAGTTTTTGATGTGGAGTTGATGAGGGATGCAACCATCATTGGTGATGAGTTGCTAAACACTTTGAAACTGGCTCTGCATTGCGTAGACCCTTCGCCATCAGCGAGACCAGAAGTTCTACAGGTTCTCCAGCAACTAGAGGAGATTAGACCAGAGTCCGCTGCTAGTTCTGCAGCACCTTCTGGGGATGATGGAGCAGGAGTTCCTTCAACAAGCGAGTGAAGGAAATGGATTTTGGAACAGTAATGTTTGTGAAACAAAACTAGGAACAATTCTTTCATTCTTGAGTGCTAATTTTGTGTGCTAATCTACCGTCTGTAAATATCATTCTCTCTAAATTCCCCTAGTACGTTTTCATTGCGAATTGTTATTCATTTTGATAGGTAGTTTCTAGTTCTCTAGTATAATGTACTTATGTGCCACATAAGTAATCTATCTCTATTCTTTTCTCAAATTAGATAATGTTACTTCCTTCGAATTTCTTTGCAAAACCATAGATTTGAACCCAAAACCTCTATAAAACCTCGATTTACTGATCAGGATTATGACTGACATGATGTTAGTTAACCTTTTTACAAGCTCATGCCAACATAAAAGGCTATAACTGTCAGTGAAAATGAAACCAAAAGAAAGCAAAGGCTAAACAGATATCAAGGAATTAAATCCAAATCCAATAACAGAAGGTAAATTGGTTTTAGGAAAGGAGATTTGACAAGGAACCTTATTCACTTGTAACGACTTCGTCCCATGGACTTCCTTTTTCTTTCTCAAGAATCTCCATAAGTCAACAACAAACCTTGACTAAACTTCGTTGATTGTTCTTTTTCATTTTCGTTCACCTATCTAATCCTAACCCATTTCATATGCTTCCATTCAAAGAGACAACTACTTGCACTAATAACATCAATGGCCTATTTTGCTATAGCTGTTGTCCCTTAGTTGTAGCTATCCAACAATCACAGTAGGCCTTCATGGATGAATCATTGTTTCTTGTTAGTTAAGATTCTTTTGCTCATGGTCTCCTTTATTGCCTCTTGATTTGCTTCCGTATAACTTAAGCTGCTTTAATTTCCTTCATTCATGTAAAAGGTCATGGCTGTTCAATAATTGATCATTCATTTTTTCTTGAGTTCCTTCCTACACATCTCAAGTTAAAATTTGTTGACTCTAATATAGAATTTAAACTCCTCTTTATTAAAACATCAATTGGAAGAAAACTATATAAATTTAATTTCATAGTTCCAAGTATGAAACTCTAGACAATATCATATTTAAATCCCTATTAAAATAAATGGTGATTTCAAAATTCAAAAAAAATATACCAAAGTGAACATGACTTCTCCTGGTTCCAGGTACAGATCAATAAACTAAGCAATCAACAACACGTGATCACATAAAAGGGTACTCATTAATGGTTGTTTCTTAGTTCATCCAACAAACAGACACGACAAGAGGAGCCAACTACATTACGGATTGTGTCTGCACAGATCACCAATATTTCTTAACAGCTTATTTATTATTATTATTATTTTCACAATAAAAACAACTCTCTTTTTTTTTTTTAAAGTCACCTATATGCTTATTAATTCCAACTTACACCGAAAGAAGGTTACCATTAATATCCAAATTATTGGTGATTTTAATTCTTTTAAGTGGATGGAAATAAGTCTTAACATATTATTTTTGAAAAACAAGCTACCCAATTTAGTTATTACAAAATCTAAAGTTAAGTGTCTAATTTACTTCTTGTCGTTGAGGGAAATCAGAGTTTAGAGGTTATAACACAATCAACATGTTCTTGCTCCAATCATTACAAAATCTTACGTCAAGAATCTAACTGACTGCTTGTCGTTAAGGGAAAATCATCAGTGGTTATGACTCAATCAAAATTTTCTGCTATTTTTTATAATGCAGATCCACCAAATAAAGGTGGACTTTTTAGCATCAAGAAATAAATAAATAAACAGAATTCAACTTCTAGACTCTTGTTTTTTTCATGGGGATTAAATTAAGTCCATGTTTAAACTAAATTAATGGGTTCTATCCAATCAAGTCGTGGAGCGGTGATCTCCTTGACTTTGTGAGCCAGGGGATGGGTTGATCTTGAGTAAGTCTAAGTTTGAATGATTTATTAAATTAATCAAGTAGCCTAGAGGATTAAAGTCTTGAGATTATTCAATTAATATGCCCTTTTCACCTAATAGTTAAGTATTTTTTTGGTACACCAAATGGTACAATTACAATATTAATTTGGGAGGTAGAAGGGTCCATTAAGTTAGACTTTTACTACATAATTGGAATTTTGGAATGTAACTTGCTTTTCTAAGAAAGCATGGACTTTTAAGGCACAAACTTATTGTTTTTTTTCACTTTCTAACGAATTATCAAATGAGATTACGTATTATGAGTTCCAGCTTTATCCTATTGGAAATTGACTCCTACACAATTATATTGGTAATGGTTTTATGACCTGCTGACTATTGTAAAATTTTTGAAAATGATATAATTATAAGTTGTTTCTAACAAATGTTCTTAGAATATAGTTTAAGAATGTATATTTATTGTATATTTTTATTATTAATTTGTATAAAGAATTATAAAAGTAAATTTTATTTTCAACACTAATATTATATAAAACAATTTAATTGAACGGTTAATAAAATTTAAGTTAATTTTTATATTTTTACATATAAATTAATAATAAAAATATACAATAATTACATTTTTAATCTATATCCTTAGGGTATAAATTAAAAAATTTCATAATTATAATATTCTGTAATATTATAAGTTTATAATTATAAAATATCATTATAATACTTTTTATTCAAAATTCACTCATGATACTATAGTATTCAATTATTTGATAATATATTATAATTGTAAACTAACAATCTAATGTAATGTTGCAACTATATATTGCTGCAAAATTTCATTATAAAATAAGATGTAGAGAAACATGCTATGTTCTTGTAAGTTCAATTGATGTCAATTTACCTTTTTTCCATTGGCTTAGTGCACATCAATTGAACTTCCAAGAAAATAATGTGCTTCTCTACAAATACCAACCTGTCAAGCATCATGGCTCCCAATTTTTTCAATCTTAATACCAAATCCTGCGCCTAGAAAATGAGTAAGAAATTGCTACAAAGAAGAAAATTAGGTTTAACGTGTAATACAAACCCAATGTATGAAATTAATTCAGTGTGCTTGAAAATGGTTGAGATGGGGGTAGACCCTTCAAGGCAGGAACAGTTGGAGT